TACATGTGCGAGATCGCTGTGTACACACACACATCACACTATGTAATGTTATATGTATATAGTTATTAGTTTGGCGTAAAAAAAAAGAAACTGTGCGCTTGAAACTGTTACATTTTTATCGATATACGCGTTGAATTTCGAATTGAATCGCTTTCGCATAACGCACACGTACTATTATTTATACGTACACTTCGCAGTCGTACTCGGATTTGATTTATCGTCCTCCGGACGGACGTCTGCGGCGCATACCCACACCATCGTCGCACCCCACCACCACCATCACCACCGCAATTTGGGCCGTTGATTGTCGCGAACGATGTAGTCGTTTTAGTCGTCGTCGATGTCGTCCTTGTCCCGCAAAACGGGGCACGGTACAACGGGTGGTGTAGATCGACCGAACAAACCGATCCCCCGAGAGTCGTTATAATAATAATAATAATAATAATAATATTATGTGTACTCGTCGGCCGCTATAATAATGTTCCCCACGCGCACAACAGTTGTAGTTCAGTATATATATGTATATATACATATATGTGTCTGTGTCTGTTCTGTTTTTCGACGACTTTTTCGACGCGACAGCTGCGTTGAAACAATAGCGCGTTTATTAAAAAAAAAAAAAAATCAACAACAACAACAAACAAATCCCACCGCCGTCGCATAGCTCGTTGTAATATTATATAAAATTATGCGGTAACGGTGATGCGAAGGTAGTTTATCGAGTCACCGAGACTCGAACCGATTTGTGGCGACTGCAAGTGGTGGCGGAGAGGGCATGTTCCAGCGAGATTAGGACGTGAGCTAGTGTGTAGAGGATAATATATTAATCGTCTCGTATAACATATATATATATTGTATAAATCTATATTTTATGGCCTTCTTCGCGATAAAATATGCGTGCATAAATTAAATAATAACGAGCGCGTCAAACTGAATAATGTACAATATTTTATAGTGAAAATGGTAAGGTGTTGTGGTGCGTTTGGGCTGTGTTGCCACACACATGCGATATAATATATATATTTAAATCAGGTATATAATATATATATATATACACACGTATCTACGTATGGCTGTATTGATAAATACAAAAATAAGCGACACACGAGTGTTATATACATAATAATGTTTAATTTATGCATAATCGTACTTGCATACATATTAATATATATATATATATATCATGTCGTATTGGTATATATAAGACACGTATATGCGGTACATATATATATAGTTGTGGTGTGTGTGTGTGTGTGTGTGTATGTGTGTACTACATATCAGTATGCAATAATAGGTATGTGTGTGTGTGTGCGTGTGTGTGTTATGGTCGTGTACGCACTACACGCGCGCGCTGTTCACCTGTTCACATAGTCGCGCGTATCGGCTGCCATATTGTTACCTGGCCAATGGCGTTCTCTCGTCCCGCACGCCACAGCGGTTTGTCGGACAATCGTTAAACGAGAGAAGGTAAAAGAAAACCCATTTGCGTTATGGTAATAATATTACACCCGTCTTATATAATGGTATTATATTATTGTATGTATATTATAAGCGAATACATATTTTACACAGAACATCATGTGTTTTCACGATTATTATTCGCAACAATTTATTATTACATCAATGCAGGTAGCCAGGTTATAAGTAGGTACCCTGTAGGGGGGTCGATTTGGTGGCAATGTTCCTGCCATGACGTTTCTTCGTCAACCGCACTCACCTTTAACCCCTGCTAAAGTTGTCTCTAGCTATTTTCTCGGGAAACTCCGATCGTTTTCGGCTATTGTTTGCCTATCAATACAATATATTATTGTAGGTGCGCATAGTAGGTATTTAGATATAATATACTATATTATGATGCATCATAACACCTATACAGATTACTCGGAAAAAAATTATTATTTTACGTTTAGGTATTTGTAGGACAAATTATTATTATGTAATACCTAGGTATCACCGTCGCGGTAGCGGCGTGTAGGTATATACCTACACCGCGGTGCTGGCGATCGCGGTATACATAGCCGTATATATAGGCATACCCATGCACGGTCATTATACATATCCCATTATATGGGAAAACCATAGATGACTTTATGCTTGTGGACAAGCAATGCTGAGTGAATGGAAAGCTTAAAAACGTAGAGGGCGCTTTTCGTTTACTCGTTGACTCAAAATGTACAATAGTGCGGGATAGTAGCGAATATGATATATGTAGATATATAGGTCATTGTATTTTATCGTCAAGACAGCCTGCAACACTGCGAGAAGTAGTTTTTGATGCTGTCGTTGCATCTCCACAGTAAGTTCTTGTCTATAATAGTAGAATAGGCTGGTGTCGTCCATGGGGCAAACCAATTACCGCGTATACGACACATACCCATGTGGGTACACTGTGCACGCGGTATACTCGAATGTTATTAATCGTGTCTCTGCTCGTCGTTATTGTCGTAGCCGTATATACCCGGTGCTACAGTACCTGTGTGTGTGATATGTATGTCTGTGGATTATCTCGAGTGGCTTGGCGGCTTATTTGAAAAACCTCGAGCGGCCCGAGATAACGTTTTGGAATTACAAAAACCTTATCCTATCAGTTGTCGTCGTGTAGGCACACACACTCACGCACGGAAAACGTTGAACAAGTCAAACATGTGTACGTTTTGTGTGTGTGTGCGTGTGCTCGCTCGTATATCTGTATTATATGTGCATGTGTATGAAAAGGTGGAAAAAAACTGTTAAAACCACAACGCACACATGCACGAATAGACCGAACGAGATAACCGAGCGAAGAGTATTTTCGTGTGCAGCTTACATGGTCGTTTTTTACTTAATTTGTTCCGTTGCTGCTGCAGGTATATATATATATAGGTAGGTAAAATGCAATATATTATAATATTATTTATATACATTTCGTAATAATTCTTTCAGCGAATTTATCGTGCCGTATATATATAGCTGGTATATTACATAGATACACGCACACACACACACACACACACCACATATACACACATATATACAGGGTGGTTATCCGTGCCTTTATGTTTTCCTGTCGGTCGTTCTGTTTATAGGTGTCTACATAATGCAGTTAACATAATATATACCTACTATAATTTCCTGTCGCCTCAAGTTCGTCTTGAATCGATCTATGCAAGCAATATAATTTCTAAATCTATATGCATGAAAGCAAAGTTAATAGGTTTATACACTTATACGTGTATGTTATATGCATAATTCTAAGGGACAACAATAAAGGTAAATAAAGGTATATAAATATAGGTATTTTAAAGTTTAAACTACAACACAGTGGCGTCATGAACTTAGTGAACCACAGAGGCGCATAATATTTTAACCACCCTCCAACCTATTCATTTAAAACTGTTTAATAATACAATTTATCTTGAACAATTTATATTACATAGTTTTAAAAATATTATTCATTACAATTCGGAAGTAGGAATGCTAATATTACCTACTATTATTAAAATTAATTATTACATTAGGACACAGTATTAGAATTAATTTCCATTAACATTAAAATCTCAGTCAAAAGTTATAATATAGGAACAATTGTTCTTAAAAAGATGGACTGTATCGCCACTGCGCTGCAACAGTTACCTATTAAATTATATGCACCAATAAGTCTTACTGCAAGACTAGGTGCTTGCTTGGAAATGTGCACATATTTTTTGGTTATGTAACGAATAATTTTCATTACCTATATCAAAATATATGTATGTATAAGTATAATACAAAGAAGCTCATTCATATAATATATAGGTAGGTACCATATAGTATTATAGAATGCTCACTGCTGCAGTGATTAAGTTGGCTGACTAAACGCGATATAATAATGTCTATAATATATATTTACATTATACATATATTATATATATATATATGTTTATACATAGGTACCTATATATTATAACTATAAAACTTTATAGTGTGGCCGCATTCGTGATCTACTGATGACTGATCATGTTTGTTTGTAAAGGATTTCAATTATCTAAATATAACAAAAAACTCAATCAACGGTATACACTATTGTACTTGCTCATAGACACTAAAACGGTATTAATTACGCCGCACAATCCACGGCTATCGCATCATCAGAAAAAATAACACATTGACACAAACCTATTATTGAATTTAACAATATGTATAACATAATAAAGCCACCGTGAGATACCTATAGCTCTATTTCAAAATATTCGACTTATTGTTCCAATGAAAACTTATAGTTGATGACTTCTACAAGCTTAGTTCATTCCTAAATAAAGTCCATCATGTTTAGTCACATTTATTGCATATATAAATACATGCACCTAGATAATTATTATGTATAATAAATCAAAATATATATAAGTACTAATTGTCTAATTCAAAAACCGCCATGTAATATTGTAAAGTATTGATATTTAAGAACAACTAGGTACCTATTGCCGTAATGGTTGTTATAAAGTTGTAACAGCACGTCAAACGCATTTGACCATTGGTATATATTCTTAGAATAAAAACAAACAGTATACTTAATACACATTAAAATCAAGCAATTTTGCATTTCCCTGCACGACGACGATGTGATAAAACGTATTACGATTAGTCGTACTTATATTTTTTATACTATGCCTGTGTCCACGTTGTGTCTTAAGCGAAATCATCACGATTTATAATTTAATTTCAATTATTTTTAATCTTTTTTTATAGACGATCAATAAAATATCTATAAAACAATAATTAAAAATCTCAGAAGATGGATCAATTAAATTGTATGTTGATGTTTATGTTTACCTTGCCGTGTTACCACATTAAGCGATTGTATAGACAATAAAAATGTCACATAGTACTTATGCACACCCGTGCCGCTGAAATTGCCACTAATTTATCATCTTTATTTCACAGCAACAGCTCTTGTGTAAATTAATAAACTCGCGCGCAGTTGTTAAACCTTCAATTTATTAAACCGGCAGACCTAATAAATAATTTTTCTTTTTCCTATGCAGGTAGAACACGCACCAAAGATAAGTACAGGGTCGTATACACCGACTTGCAGCGCCTAGAACTCGAGAAGGAATTCCACTTTAACCGATACATCACGATTACAAGAAAAACCGAGCTGTCCAAAATGCTGAGCCTGTCTGAAAGACAAGTAAGTCCCTATTATAATATTTTTGAACAAATTAATTCGATAATACAGCCGACACGATAGTATATCGTATTGGAGAGGTATTTTTTTATTTTGAAAAATTAAACTGCTGCGGGATAATTGTTATTTTATTAAGTAGGTACACTGCAGGGCATACATCTGACCACTTGTAACAGTTGACATCAGGCACATTTCTCAGTATGTAATATTAGGTGCCTATTTAATATTATTTATGTAGGTGTGTACAACTTTGAGAATACACACGATTTGTAATTCTCATACGATATGCATCTATAACTTTAAGTTTTAATGTATAACTGTTCAAAATTAAATTCATATTTAGATAAATGTTTTCAGAATACAACTTACAAGTAGGTTAGTAGGTCTTGTACGCTTTTTAATTTCTAGAAAGAAATATCGTTCTCTGCAAGTATAAATTTAGATATTAAGGTATTAAATATTATTTTTAAAATTAAATTATGTAAATTTTATCATCGATACATTTCTTTACACTCTAAACGCAAACTCTATCTATATAATTTAAAATTTTAATTTATGCAACAATTGCATTTAAAATTGGTTAAAACTGTCTTCAACAGTGATAACTGCTATAATTGTTTAAATTTAGATAAGTGAAGTGGATATATACATATTGTTTGCAAGAATTTTATCTCTATTAACACATTTTACTTATCCACTAACTGAGGTTCTTCTAAAATCTTACTTCATAGTTCATGTGTGAATATAATAAACCTATACTATTACGCAATATAATATTATTATATAAATAATGATAAAAGTAATAATATATACATATTTATAGGTATATATGTATAGTGTATACTGTTTAGACTTTAGAGTGATTCACAAACCAAGTACAATAATCCATACTATATTGTATATTTACAAAATATTTCTTTGGTTTTGGAATACATATGAGATTTCCAATAATACCTATTAAACCTCGTACGTTTTGTTCATTATAAAAAATGTATTTTTGGATAAAGCTGAGGTATTATTTGATACATCCAAACGAAAATAAGTATTTCAGATACACTAGTAGGTGTTAGTGTACACACATATATTATAGTATATACATTTAAATTACTTCAACCTATAAAATAAAATACAATTTAGAACATGCATAGAAATTATACAATAATATTAGTATATTATATAGGTACTTACACTGAAACATGCACTGTGAGTTTTATAATTATGTTTGATATTATTAATAACTATAATAATTCGATTGTTCGTTAAATAAATCGCTGCTAATATTTAATAGTGTAATTTGGTGTAAATACCTATTTTTCGGCTACAACACGATTGCGCAAATTTTCCTTTTTTAACCCGACTAATTACACCACGATTGCGCAAAAAATTTGGAACACGATTGCGCCCCGATCCCTTTTTACCTGTTAAAATCACAACACCATTGCGCACCAAATGATATGTGTATATAGTATATACTATAAATAATAATTTATATACAACATAAAATAATGCATACAATATACATACAATACATACTTTTTATAACTTGCATATTATACATATTACATGCACTCAAATTATAAATTCACAAAATGCACTTTTTCAAACGAAAATATTTAGTATTATAAATTATATTAAAGTCAATATACTCAATATTATTTGTTTGTTGATATTATATTATTAATAGGTAATAAGTTTAAGTCATAGACCTAATAACTAGTTATATGGTTCAAGTGCGTGTATATGAAAATGTATTGAATGTATACATTATTTTAAGTTGTATGTAAATTATTATACATAGTATATAGACATATAGTATATACACATATCATTTGGTGCGCAATGGTGTTGTGATTTTAACAGGTAAAAAGGGATCGGGGCGCAATCGTGTTCCAAATTTTTTGCGCAATCGTGGTGTATTTAACCGGGTCAAAAAAGGAAAAATTGCGCAATCGTGTTGCAGCGCTATTTTTCAGCAATGTACTTAGGTATTGGGTTATACATTTTTATAATTTCTTGGGCTATTTATATATATTTTTTATTTTATATTATTTTTATTTTTACGTACCTATAATAAATAATAATAATAATATAACCGATTAATATCAATGATAATACCTATTATAGTTCAATAGTCATATAATTTTGAAATGCATTATATTACAGGTGAAAATATGGTTTCAAAACAGGCGAGCCAAACAGCGGAAAATCGACAAAAAACGAGAAGAGACGATCATCAACGAGAACTCAAAACAACTGATCCAGACGCCCGTCGATACAAATTATTCGATCGAGAGCTGTTCGCCCCTGTGAAACGATCGGCTTAATCATATTATCGTGTAAATCGACGATATGAGATATTCAACGGGTATAACATTATTATTATAAATTATAATGATAATATGTACTTATCGAAAAACCCAAAAACTTTGGGAACAACGAAATCGGACGTTATACATATGTTTTGTATAATATTATAATATTATGTATAGATTGTAAGTTTGAATCGCGTCTAAGAGAAACGATAAAACATTTTTCATTATTTTATTTTTGAAACACAATTTTATTTTTATTTTACAAATTAGCATATTATTATTATTATTATTATTATTATTATTATTATTATAAAAGTTATGTTTTTATTTTAGCCGATTTTCAATTATGCGCGCTTATAGTATACCGTTACACTTTTGACTGTACATATAATAAAGAAATCGTTTAATTTTAATTTTACCTTAATACCCGCCCTATTATTATTGGTGAACGAAGTGCATTCGTTATAATATTATAATAGTTTTAACTGTTACTCGAATTTTAATTTTTACGAATGTATAGTGAGCTTATCGAATTTGTTGATATTTTTAATCGTCGCCTTTGTGTACTTGCCTTCATAGGTCTTATTGTGAAAACACTGTGTTATAATTATTATAGGTATACGCCTACCTATGTCGATTGTAATGTATGTATATAGGTTCAGTTGTTTACCAACGTCATTAGAATAATAATGATAATAATAGTGGTAATAATAATAATAATTATTATTATTATTATTATAAGGTATAATAATGATGATTATTGTTATTAAGTTGACGAATGTGTTTGCACTTATCGGCGAACGTTAGCTGGGTGGCATGTAAAAGGTGTATATCACTCGGAATTTTATTTCTAGATTGTAAATAATATTGTACTTAAGCAGACTTAATCCGAACGAATATAAGTAGTTGAACTTAAAATAAGATTATAATATTAAAACGTTTTAAAAAAATGGAGTTGAACAATAAATTATGTGAATGTTTTATTCTTAGGTGTCGAAATGTTTCAATTCGTATAATTTATTACTATTATTATTATTATTATCGTTATTTATATTATTATTATAAATATTATTTGTATCATTATAATCATTATAATTGTATTATTATTATTTAAGGGAAAATGCGATTTCATTTGTTTATCGATTTTTTTTTTTAGTGTTGTATAATTATTTTGGTTAATGTATTATAAAAATAAATAGGGCATGAAACTTATTCGTTAAAAATACTTTTATTAATTTGTGTAAGACCATTTATGTGAAATTAAACGAAACTGCTATATAATTTTGCATAGTTCAAAATTCAAATCATATAGTAGGTATCCATTAGTTCATCATTATAATATATTATGAATAAATTGTTAAAAACACATTTTTTTTAAAAAAAACTTTAAGATCAGATTAGATCGATATACCAAGCACTCAAATGGTTTTCGTCATCGATAATATGTGTTGATAGCATAAGTTTCAATTGTTTATATCCTAAACCCTGTTTTACATACACGGTACCTAGATAATGAATGCTATGTATTATTATCTAGAACAGTTATATCCCTACAGTTGGGTCCGTCCGTCCGTCCGTCCGTTTGTTAGTTATCTCGTTACAAAAGAAAGAGCGTCCGTAAGAATTTGACAAAATGGGAGGGGGATATTTATTTTACTATCTGATTAGTGTGAAAGCATTGTTTGTGACACGTTTCTCTCGGTATAGAATAGGTAGAGAATTAAATATTATTTATGAATTACATGGTAGATAGTTGGTTAAAATTTAACCTTACAGCATTAATTTAAATTAAATTAAATGATATGTTATTTTAAATACAAATATTACCATTGATTTGATAGTTTTGGCTTATTTATGAAATTGAATGTTTCTAATTTATTCAATTACCTATTGGTACGACAAACTTGAAACTATTGTATACAATCTGTGTATATTAAATTTTTTTTTAACTCGAGTAACACTGTATTTGGTCCCACCACTACATGCCACAAATTCATAGGAGCAGGATTTTTCAAATTTCATTGGGTGCTTAAGTGTAGTGTATAAATATTATACGTATTGTTTTATTATTTCTGTACCCCGTGGAATGGGTCGTGGGGTCCTCGAGCAACGCAGAACACCAACAGTCGGCGCCCACGCATAAATTTATCAAAGGAAAGTTATATTATTTCTGACCTTTATAAATGAGCGTTATAAAAATCACATTTTTATTTTCAATTTAAAAAATAATATTTAATGATTGTGATAACAGACCCAGAAAAAAGCCAAGAGACCTGCCCTATTCCCACCCCTGCAGATGCCATTGTGCACTAGTGCAGTCATAGCCTCCAGGTATATTCCAGATACACCCCTTGTATAGTGTATATTCGAGTATACGACACTGAACGACCTATGTCGTGCAAAGGTATAACTACAAAACATAATACATACAATGGTATGTATAACTAACTATATATTATAAGTATACCATTATTGTTCGTTAAAAAAATGAATATGAAAATAATTTTACATTCAATCAATAGAACAAGATAGACTTTCAAACTCCAAGTATTTCGATGTACAGTCATAAACTTTATACTAGTATAAGGTCTATGTATACAGTGCACATTAAACATAGATCCGATTTTTTTCATTAATTTATCTTTATATTAAAATCGTTCATTTTAACATCGATGTGGTTCATTTGGTATGTATAAATTGTTATTATTTGTGTATGTGTTACTTAATAGTCGCAACTCGTAAGTAAAATCTATCTATTATAGATATAGGTATAATACCTGTAGTACCTATACAATCGCAGTAATCACACAAATAAACAATTGTAATTCTGCTCGTTTAAATTACAAATTAAATAAATACAATTTAGCAGGCTGATGTCTTGTAGTGTAATACAAATTAAAAGTACTGCAATACTCGGACAATAATTATAGGAGCAGTGCAATAACTAATAAAGAATAAAATGTTAAACGTCTGGCTAAAATATACTAAAAATTACTTTCCATTTTTGATAAAATTAAGTTGCTGTTACACAATATTATATTCAACCATATTTTAATGCGTATATAGGTACTGTTGTATGAGCGCCAGAAAATAATAGTACAATATAATATTAACTACGGATAACAATATTTATGTGTAATTTAGACCAATGCGGTAAGGCACGGTTGAGCATAAAACGATTGAGTATATACTTTTTTAGTAACACGATTGGGCATGAAATATTTTATGTTACGTTGCACACATTCAAGTAGACAAAATGTTGTAATTTATTTATTATTTTCACTAATATATCACACCAATAAATTATTAGGATGCCAAACTTAAATGTGCCACGAGCTGTGAGCCGAGCCCTGCTTTATTGAGTATGTTATCGAAAAACTACAATTGTATATAAAAGCTTTTGATCAATATTCAAACTGCAGTAAGAATACGGAATCCCTACTATATTATATTCAAAGCCAAGTAGGAAACAGATATTTAGGTTTATCAATTTATTATTATTATCAATTTTAAACCAGCAGGTATTGTTATTTTTATGATTATAATTATAAAAAAATAAGTAAATTAGTAGATTTATGAAATTAGACTATTATCTACTATGGAATCATATTATTTTTTAGCTCTTACCATATTTTGTGTTTAATATAGTTCAAAGTTGAAATTGACAATATCGCAAAGTTTTTTATGCTGAGTCTTGTATGTTTTCTCTTACATGTATTCCTATATTCTTAGATATACTTAACCTAACCCGACAAATTTGCTCAATCGTGTCGTAAAAAATGAATTTTATGCTCAATCGCGTTGTAGCCAACCTCTGAAGCAGATAAGCTAAGGTTGCACAAGCTCTAAAATGTAAAATATAGGTAGGTACTTGAAAGCATCGGGTCGATACGAACAGGAATTTTCTTCGAATCGAAGACAACTTACGGACTTGTGCCGAGACCAAGGACAGAGGAAATCTATTTGTTTATTTTTTTTTTGTGTTATCATTATAATAAAGGTTCTTGTAATCTTGTGTATATACTATATAGTATATATAATACTATCGGTCTTGGTTTAGTAGTCACACTACCTACTTAACTCTATTATTTTAGTCCAATCAGTCCCAATCTGGTTAACTCGTGGTCGTCGAGGATTAAAAGTCTAAGCAGTAGTCCTATTGACTCATGAGAGCCAAACCATAAGTGTATACCTATAGTCGTTTGGTCAGTCAAGTGCGAAGATAGACCGAAAAGGCGAAAAGATATTACCGAAAGGTGCATATTATATTATTATACAACTGTACCTTTATCATTTCATATTGAAGTAAGTATCGTGGACGTCTTCATAGAAAAAAACTAAATTTAAGTTTTACGCCGCTCAGAATCATGCACAAGTATTCATATAACATTACAATTTTAAAATAAAATTATTCGTTGATGCTTTTATAATAGTGTTTATTATCGAGGACTGGCTATTCACGAATATAGATTGCTCGGGAAGTTCGGGTACCTATAGGTAATAGGTACCAATATCAAAATCAGTAGTTTGCACGTCACATACGACATACCTAACCCATTGTGTACAGTTCAAACTTTATAGTGATTCACTTGGAAACCATTCAGCGTCGTCGAACGAAAAAAATGAACAAACCGTCTGTGTATCAACTCGCCATCACAATAATGCGTTATTTCGTTGTCAAGTATATTGTACAATAAAAAACCTGATGCGAAAAAAACAATAACGAGTGATGACTGACGATATATACGTACCTGTTGCGTGTACATAGGTAATATTATTATGTCCACAACCTACGTATCTATATCGACGCAGACTAATTAGTAATTATTACATGTACACGACGAGAGTAGGACTCAAGGTGCCCTCGAAACATAACTGCTACACAATATCATTTATCACGATAATACATAGTTTAATAATAATAATATTATGGCTCAAGTAAGTAGTCGGACCGATAATAATATAATTACTACGTCAGTAAACCACGTGGCGCACTCTACCGAAGAATTTTCATACTCGGGGTACTAAAGACCGAACTAACTAAATAATATCAAGAGGGCGCTATATGGACATATTTTGTCGTCCCCGTCTTACAAGTGACATTGGAAATACAGACGAGCTCAACAGATCACGTTTGGCGACAATAAATAATTATAGTGAATAAACCTATTTTGAATAATTTTATGAAAAGGACCTAATAATAAGCTGTGTTTGATTGTGGGGTTTTACGACACTAAAATTTTTTTTTGAAACGGATGAAACATTCATGAAATGCTTATAACTCACTTAAAAACTAAATCATCATAGAAAACCTTCATACAAATACTGATAATGTTTTTATCTTCAACTAAAGTAATAGGTCGATTCACTCTAATTTTTAAACTAAGAGCTAAACGTGATCGGCTGAGAGTAACTTTGGTATGTCAGGCACTTGTAAGACTGAGACAACAAATGCCCGCTTAGCATCCTCTTAAAGTCTTAATAGAGAGCCGGGCCGAGCAATATAGTAACGCTCCTGGCAAGAT